TGGTGGTAATTGGTCATACTGATAAGAGAAATTCTAGTTAGAGGCTTTTTTCTCTTTTCACAGAGATGACTGACTGCAATTTTCATCACAGTTATACATTTTTAAATGTTTACCTATGTTTGTTATATGGTACAGTTAATAAATTTCATGGATAATAACCATGATTTTTGTTTAGCATGTAAATTTGGAATTTGAGACTGAGAGATGACTTTTGGGAGAAGAGATTTCTCCAGTTGTATACATGCTGAAATGAGGACTTGAGTTAACTTAAAAGAAACAGATTTTGCTTTTTAAGTAATTTCTGAGGTAATTCCACAACATACCCACTAGATTGCCTTTGAATCTGGAGAATGAATGAATCAGGTAACATCAGTAGTGCTAACTGGGGTGGGATTTGTTACAGCTGTCTGAGTCCACTTGAGATACTGTACATCCCATACCCACATCTTTAAGGTCTCAACACAAGTGTAAAATTCTGAGAAATACATATGGCTTTATTATTGCATTGGCTTCTGAACCCAATCTATAGTCCATATGATTCACAAATGAAAAGTGCATATGCTTTTCCTCAAGTTACCTGATGATACATCCTGGTTAGATCAAAGCCTCTCCACTCAGGGGAGGAGGTGGCATGCAAATAGAGGCAGCTAGGGTTATTGCTCCATGAGTGTAGCCCTTAACTTCCAAGGAATTCAGCAAATTCTATAAATCCTATATGTAGCCTTATCTACCTACTGATGATTGGTTATTCAGTGGTGACTGGAGTTTGCTTTCTCTAGATTGGACCATGTAGCTCTTTTCATCTACCTCAAAATTAAAAAAGCACAGCCAATAAAGTCTTCAGGCAAGCTTGGGTCTGGGCTTTCATTGGATAAAGCTGCCCTTATGGGAGCAGTTTTATGCGAAAACTTCATTTCCATGAACCAGACCAAGATGGGGACCCAGTGGGTACTACTGAAGTAGAAATATACTTTTTCTTGTATTCTTTGTATAAGTTAATATCCTTGTCATTTGTGTATTATTCATTGAGTCTTCAAGTTGGATAAATTAAGTGCAAAATTCTGTTCCTGGAAGTCACAAATCTAATGCATCTGAACAATCCTAAGATTTAATATTAATCAGTGAAATGTATCGAGCATGTTTTGAGTTCTAAGAATGATTAGTCTTCATGTCAAGTATATTGGTTGACTTGCTAACATTTTTCAGATATACAAAATGAGCTGGGGAAACTGCAAGACAGAAAAACTAAAGGATCAGGATGTGTGATCAATTGAACTGAATAATCAAATAACTGAAAGGCTTGGAATTTCTTGGATGCAAATGTCTGAGTATCCAAAAGCTCTGCTTCTAAACCTTCCTAAATCAATACTAGAAAACTCTGAATGTTTCATGTGGCATATGATATAAACTATGACAACCTAGTTGTCTACCTGTTATAGGCAGCTAGGTAGTATAGTGGAAAAATCATTGGACCTGAAGGCACTTACTAGCTGCATGACCCTGGTCAAGTCACTTAACCTGCCTGTCTCAATTTCTTCATCTGTAAAATAGGAATAATAATAGCACCCTACCCTTCAGAGGTTTTGCAAGGATCACATGAGATATTTGCAAAGCACTTTGCGAATCTTAAAGTGCTATATATGTATATATGATAAATATGTATACATACATACATATATATGTGTATATGTGCTATATATGCACACATTTATATTACTAGATTGAACTGAAAGAAAATTCATCTTTCTCTGGACAAAAGACTTGTAATTGGAAACCTCATACTAGCTCTTGTATGAATCTAAATTTAAACTACATATATAAGTACCAAAAGTATACTCCGGTAATAGAAGATATACTATTTGCTTATTCTGTGGGATTAAGTCCAAGCTCCCTTTGGTGTGGATTCTAAGTAGCTTGGCAGCCATCAAGCCTTAAAGATAATTCATTTAATTCTCTTTTCAAAGTGAAGTATATGTTTAGGCTGTAAGGCACTGTTTTATAAGCACAATGTAGTTAGAATGAGTACAGACTCACAATCAGCACATCTCTTTGCTGAAACAAAGAGGCTGACCTTGGTTATCACCTTAATAATTCAAAATCTGTTTCCATGATTAATACCCCAGAAAAAGGTAAGGAAGAAAGGGTAAAGCTAGAAGTTCCCGTTTTCATCTGTCCTATCAGATTATCTCTGTTAGAAATTAGTGATAGCATGATCCTTAAGTTCATTGTCCAGATATACTTAAAAAAACAAATACGTAATGGATTTGCAGTTTCATGTACAATCATTTTTTCCTATTCTACTGTCATAGAAATGCTTGTTTTATTTCTTAAGTTCAGAATAAAATTTAAAAAAAAATTTCTAAAGATACTGAATTCTGTTAAGAAATCTTAGTGTTCAAGGAGCACATGAAATATCAGACTGATGGACAGTCATCCCATATCAAGTAATTGAAAAAGTGAGCCACTTGCAAGTTTACAAACTAACCCTGGAAATGAGTCCAGACCCTGCAAAGAAAATACATTGCCTACTAGGGAGTCTTATTCCCTTTTGAGCAAGAGGAAAGGAGTGATGTTCGATCAGCCAAATGAACTTTAAGAAGACGAGATCTCTCACCAGTCACGAGGTAGCAGTCGGAGCTAATTAATAGCTCAGAATGTGATGATTCAAATGCAGACTGATCACTGTTTAACTTTTAAAGCCATTCTCAACCCAACTCCAACCTACCTTTTGAGCCTCATTGCACATTACTCCTGCTCTGTGATCCAGCTAAACTGGCCTTCTCTCTGCGCCATCTCCCGTAGGCATGCCTTGTCTTAGCCAACTCTCATGCTTGAAATGCACTCACTCACTCCTACCTTACTTCCATGCCATAAAGTCTCTCTCTTTCTTTAATCTGCAGCTGAAGCACCATCTTCTACATCAAGCCTTTCTTGATTCCCCCTCCTCCCACTACTAGTATCCTCCTTCCCACACTACTTTGTATCTAACCCTCAATGCACGTATTTGTAATTATTAACTTCATGATTATGCTATATTTTTTATGTGTACTTGTCTTTCCCATTAGAATATAAGCTCATTCTGAATAGAGCCTGTTCTATTCTTTGGACTTGTATACCCAACACCTAGCATGGTGTCTAGGCAATAATAAATAGCGATTGATTGATTGATTGATAGATTTAAAGCTAGAAGGGACTTCAGACATCTTCAAGGCTGACCCTTCATTTTACAGATAAGAAAACTAAAGCTAAGAAAGGTTGGGTGCTTTTCTCAGAATGACACAGCTAGTGTCTGTCTGAGGAAGGATTTAAATTCAGGTCAGAAACTGGGAGTTGGTCAAGGAAATCAACAGTCTGTCTTGGCCCCAGGGAGATTTCTTTTCAAAAGGGGAAAACCCAGAAGCAGCACCCCCTTTTATGTTTTAACCTAATACTCAAGTTGTGGACCTTGTACTCAAGAAGCAAGGGGAATTCATGAAACCTAGTAAGCATGAGAATCAGTGTGAGCCAATACATAACTCAGAATTGGGAGACTTCAGGCCAGGAGGTCGGAGAATGCTGACAGGCAGCCTGGGCCAGAAATAGCCTCTTTTATGTCGAGTTGTAGAGATACTTGGGGCCCACCTTGTGCATGAATGTTCTGCCAACAGCAGATTTAGGTCAAAGCAAACCAGGGATATATTTGGTAGTGCTCTGATCACTAAATCATAAGTTTAGAAGGAACATTAAGAGATAATCAGGTCATCTAGTCCATTCATTCTGCTTTAACGTAGAACTACAAATTCCACCACTCCAGATGAAAATCTGTTCTCTTTTTAAGAGTCTCAAGAAAAAGAAAGAGTAGTAGAGTGACATAGTAGATAGAGAGCTTGACTTGAAACTAGGGAGACTTGGGTTCAAGTCCTGATTTAGATACATACTGGCAGGGTGACCCTGAATAAGTCAATCTCTCAGTGCTCTGAGGTAATGAGATTATATATTTCAGAGAAGACGTCAGACCTCATTGACAGGAAGGATTTCCTCATCAGGGATTCCCTATATCAGTGAAACATAGGTCAATCTCCTATGCACAGGAAAAGGAGATCCCATGATGTGCTTCCATAAATCATTCCCATATTTATCAAATTCTACTCTTAGCAGATTATTTGATGCTTATTTTATTGAGAGAGGCACCCTTCTATGTAAGTAGTCCAATTGGGCTCATGTGCTGCCTTCCCTAAACCTACAGAAAGGCAGTTCTTATCGTTATATTATCAACACAGGGAGTGCAATATCTGAGTTGAAAAGCAGGTGGCCTTCTCTTTGAAGAGAACATAGCCACCCCACATCTCCTCTGGCATTTCTCTGGGATTGTCTTCCAAAAGGCTGCAGTATCCTCTCAGACCACCAGAGGGCGATCAGCCTGCAAGCCGCTAGACTACTCTACCCAACCCTTGATTGAGTTAACTCTTCTCCTATAGCACTAAGAAATTCACCAGGTCCAAAGTTATCAATCAATCAATAATCAAACATATATTAAGCACCTACTATGTGCCAGTTACTGAGCTAAAAAGAGGCAAAAGACAGTCCTTGGCCTCAGGGAGCTTATGATCTAATGAGGGAGACTTTATTGTTATTGTTCATTTGTTTCAGTTGTATCCAACTCTTTGTGACCCCATTTGGGGTTTTCTTTACAAAGATACTGGAGTGGTTTTCTATTTCCTTCTCCAGCTCATTCTACAGATGAGGAAACTGAGGCAAATGGGGGAAGTGACTTGCCCAGGGTCACACAGCTAGTAAGTATCTGAAATCATATTTGAACTCAGGAAGATGAGTCTTCCTGACTCCGGGCCTGGCATTCTCTCTACTGCGCCACTTAGCTGCCCCATGGGGGAGAGTACATGCAAACAAATACATAAAAAAACAAGCCACGTGCAGGATAAGAGGAAATAATTAACAGAATGAAAGCACTATAATTAAGAATAGTTAGGGAAGGCTTTCTGTAGAATGAGATCTTAGTTAAAACTGAAAGAAGCTAGGAAGGTCAGGAGGAGGAGGAGGGAAGGAGAGTGTTCCAGGCATAAAGGATAGCCGGAGAAAATGCCCTGAGCTCAGAAATGGATTATCCTGTTCATGGAAAAGCCGGGAGACCTGTGTCACTGGATCACAGAATTCGTGTCAGGTATAAGAAGACTGCAAAGGTAGGAGGGGGCTACATTATGAAGACCTTTGACTGCCCAATGGAGCATTTTGTATTTGATCCTGGAGGCAACAGGGAGCCACTGCAGTTTATTGAGTAGGAAAGGTGACATGTCAGACCTGAGCTTTAGGAAAACCACTTTAGTGGCTGAATGTTATCTGGGTGATAAAATGAAATGTTAATCCAACTATTAAAAATCTACAATTTATGATCTGTAAGCAGCTCTAGAGGCCCCACCCTGTAGCTTTCCTTTCTCTAGTTATAATGCCCTCCCTCCCCCAATATCCAGGAGACTTAGTTATTCAACATAGAATCCCAGATTGAGAACTGGAAGGGACCTTAGATGTTTATTAATCCAACTCCTTCATTTTACAGGTGAGGAAACTGAGGCCCAGAGAGTTTACATGACTAACTCAAGGTCACACAACTAATGTCAAAGGTAGAATTTGAACTCAAGTCCTTTAGATCCAGAGCTAGTGTTCTTTCTATTGCACAGTAATGCCTGACAATACTCTGATCAAACCAGTAGAAGGTAGGGCCTAGATCTGTGATTTTATTGGCAAAGGAGATTCCCCAAGTGAGGAAATTCTCTAGTTTTCACTACCAGTGCAGTTAGGATTAGGCACTTTCACTATAATTTATAGTCTTAGAGGTTAAACAAGTCACAGCCAAAATACGTCAAAAGTGAAACTTGAACCCAAGTCCTTCTGACCTTGAACCTAGCTCACTATCTACTATATCATTCCGTCTCTCAACCGCATTGAAAATGAAAGATCAAATATTCCTATGTGGAACATCTAACTCTCATCATCTCCCAAATCCTCCTCCCTTTAAACAACACCCCTTCCTTCTGCCCCACTCATACTCATCAGATCTTTAGGAGTGATCAGAAAAATTTCCCAAACTACATGGAAAAAGAATAAGAGGAAAAAGTGTAGGTTCATGATCCTAGCTCCAGATCAAGGGAAAACAGTGGTTGGAGAAGGCAGTCTTCCTTTCTTTGATGCCTACCTAAGAAGTTATGATCTTCTCTCCTCATGCTCTGGTCTCCAGGATCTGGCTTGCCTCCCTAGCTGACTCTGACAGTCTGGATCACAGTGGAATCTCACGCCACAGCAGTGCCAGCAGATGCCACCATAGCATAGATTGAAAACTCCTTGAAAGTATGGTCTGTCATCTTTTTTTAAATTATATATTTATTTTTAGTTTTCAACATTCACTTTCATAAGATTTTGAGTTCCAAATTTCCCCCCTCCTTCCCTTTCCCCCTCCCCAAAATGGCATGTAATCTGATGTAGGCTATACACGTATAATCATATTAAACATATTTCCACATTAGTCATGTTGTGAAAGAAGAATCAGAAGAAAAGGGAAAAATCATGAGAAAAAAAGGAGGAGCAGCTAGGTGGCTCAGTGGATACAGCACTGGCCCTGGAGTCAAGAGAACCTGAGTTCAAATCCAGCCTCAGACACTTGACACGTAGTAGCTGTGTGACCCTGGGCAAGTCACTTAACCCCATTGCCTAACCAAGAAAGAAGAAAAGAAAGAAGGAAAAAAAAGAGAGAGAGAGAAAATAGCATGCTTTAGATCTGCATTCAGACTCCATAGTTCTTTCTCTGGATGGGGATAGCATTTTCCATCATGAGTCTTTTGGAATTGTCTTAGATCCTTGTATTGCTGAGAAGAGCAAAGTCTATCAAAGTTGGTCATTGTACAGTGTTGCTGTTACTGCGTACTGTGTTGTCCTGGTTCTGCTCACTTCACTCAGCATCAGTCCACGCAAGTCTTTCCAGGTTTTTCTGAAGTCAGACTGTTCATCATTTCTTATAGCACAATAGTATTCCATTACATTCATACAGCACAACTTGTTCAGCCATTCCCCAATTGATAGGCTTCCCCTCAATTTCCAATTCTTTGTCACCACAAAAAGAGCTTCTATAAACATTTTTGTACATGTGTGTCCTTTCCTCTTTTTATGGTCTGCATCTTGTCAATCTTTGTATGGCTAGTCCCAGGCCTAGGGATTTGTACATGATAGGCACTTAATAATGTTTGTTGAAAAACAGATGCTCATCACATGAGGAATGAATAACAAATTATAGTACACTCATGTGATAGAATATTGCTATGCTGTAAGAAATGATGAATATGAAGAAGCATGGGAAGACTTACATGAGCAGCTGTGAAATGAGCAAAAACCAGACAACAATATGCAAAGTGAATGCAGCTAGGTAGATAGGAAGAACCAGGAACTGAATGCTGTGAAGTGATAATAGCCTCACTTGCACCAAAGAAATAAGAGAATGCATCTCTTCTCACTTCTTTGCAGTGACAGGGGCAACGTGGGGATGGAATAGATATATTTTTTGATGTCAACTAGTTTTGCTTAAAATGTTCCTCTTTTTTATTCTTTATCATAAGGGATGGCTATTTGGGATGGAGAGGGGCATACTTTGATAAACATGGGTGATTTTTTTTCTCTTTTTTTTTGGCTAGGCAGTAGGGTTAAATGACTTGCCCAGGGTCACACAGCTAGTAAGTGTCTGGCCAGATTTGAACAAATATCTTCCTGACTCCAGGCCTGGTGTTCTAGCCAGTATACCATGAGCTTCCCCATTCTTTTAAAGGAGAGTATCTGAAAAAATTCAACAGCAGATAAATACATACATACATAGTGAGTATCATGTGTCTGAGACTAGATTTGAACTCAGGTCTTCCTGACTCCAAGGTCAAATCTTTATCCATTATGCCACCTAGCCGCCCCTAATTATTTCTTATTTAAACTAAGTGAGCTCACCAGACAAAGACACTATGTCTCTTGAGATACTGGTGTATTTAATTAAAGAAGATTTTTTCCTCACATTCCTGTTCTATCACTGCCTTGCTTTTACTAAGAAAGCAAGTGTTTTTCTCTTGAGTAAAATTAAGATTTTTAGATTGGTTCTTGTCAACCAACATTTGTATTTCGTTGAATGAATTTGCACATATTTCTTAATGTATTTAATTCACAATCATTTCTAGGAATTTGGATATAAAGTGTGAATCTTTAAGAATTGCAGGCACAAAATTATCTTATAGCTGTAGCATGAATTTACCATCTGTTGTTACCTTTCGCATAAAACAATATCACTGAAACTAACTACCCTAACATGGATACTGATTTCACTATTCAATGCTTTGAATACACTAAAAGAAAATCCTGGCCCAATCAAAAGCAGAAGAAATAGAAAAGCCAGTTTTAAGTGTTTTTTTTAATGAATACCATTAATTAAATCTTAATAGCCAGGTGTTTTTGGACTCCTTCAAAAGTATTGGCTTTTCCTCTTCACAAAGCTATCACAAAAACACAATATATTGCTAACATTGAAAAATGCCCTTATTGTCATGCATAAATAGTTGAGACATCCACAGATAAATGCGAAATTCCAACTCCCTTTCTTCGCTACAGAATTAATGGAGTGTTCTGTTAAGTCAAAACAATGAATTCTCTCTCTGGCAGAGTTACAAAAAAGATTTTTCCTTTCAAAAGTTAATATAAAGCTACTTTTAAATCTCAGGATATAAATTCCATCTATTTTCAGTGAACCTTGCATGTATCTCCTGTCACCCTTTCCTAAAACCTGAATTTTTCCTAACATTAAACCAGACCAACATCTCCCATTCTCTTCTTGATCTCGGTAGTGAGAGCATAAATCTTCACTGATAGGGCAGGGCTGCCCCTCTCCCTTGAGCTGAAGACTGGGAAAAGCTACTCCGAGACATAGGCTCTGCCCCTCCTTTGTTGGAGATCTTTTGAGAAGCAGCAGCCTGGAGAAATTAGTATAACCCACCCCAGATGCTCCCAAGGAAAATGTGAGACAGGTAAACAAAGGGAAGGCAGGAGTGCCCCCTTGGAAATCCAAGACTCCACGGGAAGTGCTAATGAGACTGAGAAGCATACGACCCAAGAACAGGAAGATAACAGGACTAATTCAACCGTGGAGAAAGAAACACTGACCTTTATGTGGTGGATCGGAAGTTAGCAGCCCTAAGTGACACATATCCACCAGTGAGGGACCATGGAGTACAGTAGCCAGGCTTGCTCAAATTTACACAGCTAACAAATGGTAAACCCAAGATTTCAACACTCATCTCCTGTCTCTAAGTCTTTCTACTCTACTGTGAAGTTTATTATTTATGTTATATTTGTTGTTTGTTTTGCTTATTATATCCTATTTTATCTATATATTTTATATTTTGGGGGGATCAGGCCCATGATTTCATGGGTCGAGGGAGCTCCCAGTGAGGAAATTCCCTCTACCCTTACAGAACAGCTATTGATTTCCAGTTTATAATCTTAACGAGACACCTGGAGGCACTGAAGATTAAAAGGCTTTCCTAGGGTTTCACTGACAGTGTATGTGTCCAAGGTATTTGAGCCCCTGGCATCCTTACTGTGGGGCCAGCTTTCCATTTATTATTCCACATTGCCTTCCCATATTCTGTACTCTATAGTCTCTGTCTATCATGATGAGACAGACAATTATTATTTTTTTTTAGGCAATTGGGGTTAAGTGACTTGCCCAGGGTCACACAGCTAATAAATGTCAAGCATTTGATCTGAGATTGGATTTGAACTCAGGTCCTCCTGACTTCAGGGCTGGTGCTCTATCCACTGAGTCCCAACATCAGACATTTATTATTTCATTCAATTCTCATAGCAATCTTGAGAGTGCCATTATTATCCCCATTTTACAGGTGAAGAAACTGAGGCAAACAAAAGTTAAGTGATCCACTCAGGGTCACACAGCTAGTTAAGTGTCTGAGGCCGAATTTGAACTCGAGTCTTCCTGACTCCAAATCTATCCACTGTACTGCCAGCTGCCCCACACATACACTCCTAATATACATGTATACATATATACAGTCAGTTCTGCTATTGCATGAGTTTCCAAAATGTGGATTTGTTCCAACTAAATTGATTCGTTAAGGGAACATTTTGAGGATAACTAGAATTTTGAGTTTGCTCCTGTGAGATTTCTTCAGAGAAAAACAGTGAGATAACATAGAAAATGACAGCACTTCGTGATAACTCACACGCCACAACCTTTGTAACACCTGCTTCTACCAGCAAAATCCAGCTCTTTGTCAAGGTAAAGTGCTGTATTAATTGTTATCTTGGAGTGCAATGGAGCTATGGGCAAAGGAGGCCTGGACTTCACCATCTCCACTCCTCCCCCCACCCCCTTCCTCCAAGGCCTCTGGCCTGAAGACCCCAGAATTTTCTGCGTTCGCCCCTAACTCTAGCAGCCCAGTGCATAGGCTAAGCCATAGCAGCCCAAGGCCGTGGCCTTAGCCCCTATTTATGTATTCCTTAGCCATTTAATATGTATAAAACTATGCTACCATTTTTATTAGGCTCCCTTTTTTTTATGTGTCACTGACAAAGATTTGGAATATTTTGTCCCTACCTTCACCTTCCCCATAAATCCTGTGGTTTTGATTGCCCAATTTTGCCATGAGGCACTTTTTGGGGATCCCATATATCGACTTATAGCAGAACTGACTATATCTATATGTATATCTATCTATCTATCTATCTATCTATCTATCTATCTATCTATCTATCTATCTGTATATGTGTGTGTGTGTATATATATGTATGTATGTATATATATATATGTATGTATGTATGTGTGTATATATATATATATATATGTATATATATACCGAATGGCCCAAAAGTCTTAGTGATGGTTTAAGCTTTAATTACTTTAGAGATATAAATGCCACAAACTTACAAAAATTTTCTGTGGAAGTTCAATTATTTAACTAATACATGTATTTAGTTTGGTGAATATTGAGTAATAAATTTAAAGTTTTCATTTTAATAAGACAGGGTACCCTGTCATTATGCACCATGGTGTGTATTCGAGCTTCCAGATTACACTTATAGAGAATATCCTGTTGCTTGGCCACTTCAGTTGGGCTCCTGATCTATCTCCATTAGACTTTTTCTTGTGGAGTGAGTGATGTCAAAACTGTCACATATGGGGGTAACTAGGTGGCACAGTGGATAGAGCACCAGCCTTGGAGTCAGGAGGACCTGAGTTCAAATCCTGCCTCAGACACATAACACTCACTAGCTGGTGACTTTGGGCAAGTCACTTAACCCCAATTGTCTCATC